TTGTTTTTCTCCGAAGCTGCTGCAGAAGGAAACCTCGAGACATTGCTCCCTGGTGATGTTATAAAGTGATGCGAGAAACCATGAATGAGAAATGCTTACCCTGGACTCCTTACTTCCCTCGGCCCCTGGGGTGTCTTTCCCCCCGACTCAGGGAAGGAGGGCGTGGGGCAGACTGTCGCAATGACCTTATTTGGCAGAAAACCTTCGTGCCTTAGCTGGGTGGACAGTAGACACTTGCTTGGGTGATTCCCGTGTTGACAGCAGCCCTGGTCACCAAGTTCAGTGTAGCAGGCTGGCCTTTAATCGGAAGAAAAATCTGAATTTAAGTGCTTTAGCTTAAACCCCTTTGGGAGACCCTGGGGTTCTGCCAGTGTAGCCTTGGCCTGGGACTTGCCGAATGCCTCTCAGGACAGGGGCCCAGCAGAGCCTCGGACTCCTTGCCATGCTAAACGAGTTCGGTGACTCTGTGGCTCAGATGTCATTTCACTGGGTGGTTCCCACACCTGGTGAGGACCGGGAAGGAGGAGGAGTTCCTGTGGGGCTGGTTCCATCAGTGAGGTGACACGAGGTGGTTTCTATCATGCTTAATTATGGGGTGACCAGGACAGCTGTGCAGTGGGAGTGAGTCATTACTGACCCAAACCTGCTTCAAAGGAACTAAGTGCCTGCTCAGGAGCCAGAGCTCGTCTCACCAACCATCCCACTCCGCCAAATTGTTATTTACAGAATTTCCCGTGATCGGAGCGCCCACCTGCTGAAGAGCGTTTGGCTAAAAAAAACACCAAATAGCTGCAGTTGATCTGCACCTTTCATTAATTTCGTCTGGTATCTGTTTTCTTTCCTGTTGCAATGCATTTTGGAGGCTGGTAGCCTAGGTCGATGGAGATAATTAAAATGACAAGCATACAGCAGAGGCAGCAAGAACAGTTGTCTCCTTGGACCGCCTGAGGATTAGGGCTGAGGATGGTGTCCTGCTGCCACCTTGTGGTCCGGATGCACCGATCTGTAAAGTAAAAGGCCATCAGTTTCTCTACTGATTGAATCACATGTTGATTGAAGGCATGAAATGAATGGGTGTGAAAAAATAAGTTATGGAGCAAAACAATTTCATCCACAATATTCTAGTCCAAAATAATTATCCAGACCAGTTTTTGAAAGGATCCCCAACACAAGTCCTACAACCTAACGCACTAACCTTTCTCAGGGTCAAATACAAGTTCCCACCATAGGCAGAAATTATATAAGAGTGGGGTGGTGGGGTGTTGCCTCTTTTACAGAACTATCACATTATTGTTAAATTATAGTCTCGATCATGATTGTGCAGCAATGCAGCTGACAATGGAGCCTGTTCTGAAACAGAAAGAGCTGGTGTGCCACAAGTAAACCTAAGTGTGTTGTTTCACTAATGCTCCCACCTTCTGCAGCTCACCTTAGAGGGGCGTTGGTGCCACATAAACGTGAGTGCAGGGACAATGCCTGGGCCCCTCTGCCCTGTGTGGAATAACTCGTTGCTTATTTATGCTCGTGATCTGACAATAGAATATTTTTTTATACTTTGAAGAGATAATATTCTGTAATTGAATGCAGTTTGATTGTGGCAGATAAGAATAGGACTGAGAGAAACAGGCTGAAATATTGCCATGAACACATCAGGGGGGAGAGCCCCAAATTGTTCACACATTTCCATTGGGGTGGATTCATTCTAGAGACTCAGAAAATATCTTACCTGGTATAGGAATTGGCAGAAAACAGGATGGTCCTCAGGGCAGTAACGGTATCACAGACTTAGAGCCTTGGATTATCTTTCCCACGGGGCGCCTGGTTGATAAGGGTGCAGTCTGTGGTCTGGAACACGCCCTCACCGTGGTGGCCCTTCCTATCAGGGTAATTCACTTCCCAGAGGCTGGGCCTCCTGTCTTCTTATTTGTTTCCCTCTATTGCTAATCCTGAGAGAAGCCTTCCAGCCATGGGAAAGGCATTGGTCCCAAAACTGCTCTCAATAAACCAAAAGGAGACAACCAAGTTCTATGTTTAGCTCAGTGAACCCACTGCACAGGGTCCAGCCTTGAGGAAAGGCCATTGCCCTTCTACGAAAGCCCCAGAGCATTCACAGGAGGCCTCCAGTGTCACTCCACCAAGAAGGAAGAGCATGAAGTCACATATGTGCATCTACACACCTGGGGGTCAGCCCAGCTAGTCGCGTGAGGGAGGGGCTGTCCAGCTGCACACCTGGTGGGGGTGTCAGTCCATCTATACATGTGGCAGAGGGACAGTCCAGCTACATACCTGGGGATCAGTCCAGCTACACATCTGGGGGTCAGTCCAGCGACACACAGAAGGGAGACAGGTCTATCTCAATTGTAGGTAAGCCACCAAAATTTAAGTAGGTGATGACCAGAGAAAAAACACATCGGAGAAGTATGGAAATAGAAGTCCCAAAAAACAGACCAGGAGAGAAGAGTAACAGGGCACAGACTTCCTCTGAAATAGGAATAATCCCCCTGGAGATGTGGCGTGAGGTCCAAGTCCTGTGTGTGGCCCCTCCCAGGGCACCTGTCCCTGCCCCACCTCCGCCCCACTGGACTGTGTTGCTCCAGGTCTGTCCAGCTGCACGAGAGGCTTCTGGGAGGTGGAAGCGCCCTTGGCCTTGGCGACTACAATGTATCTGACTCAGAAACACGTTCCAGATGATGATCATTCTTTTCACTGGGAGATTTTTGTCCACGATGAGAACTTTTGGGAAAAAAGTATCTTTTTTAGTAGCTTTTCAGCCAATTTTAGTGAAGGGGAGTGAGCCTGGAGTTCGGACACATTTTTTCTGAGTTACAGCCTTTATCCAGAAGCTGGTACTAATCAGCTTTGATCGGCTTTCTCCCCACACTGTTCTGATGGGCCAGCACCTCTCATATTTCATTATATTCTATCGGCCTTCCCTGTGGAGAGAGAGCGAGAAAGAAGAGAAACATACAGAAACGAGAGGGTGCTGAGGACCCACCGTAGCTGCGGGACACGTATCTGGCTTTGGAATAACTCAGGCGGCAAACTACTTTCTCAGAACCCGCCACTTTGTGAGCTCTGCCGTGGGACGAGGGGAGGAAGGAGGGAGCCAGCACATGCTCGCAGGACAGATCCAAGCGCTGTGCTTCCGACAGTACGTAAGGCTTCATCCCACGCGCATCCACAGGTCACCATGGCATGTGCCTGCTGGACTGTATTTTAATTACTCACTGTGGTGCCATCTGTAGTCTGAGTTTAGAGGGAACGATGCATCGTTTGCACAAGTCCTAAGAGAAGCGGTGCTGTCCCGTCACCCGGTTGGACGAGCCAGGGGCCCGCGAGCCAGCGCTCTGTGGCCGCCGGGGACTGTGCTGGAGTGTTTACAAACCACCCGGGAGGAAGGAAGCTCCCACTGCACAGGAAAGTGAACATTTATGTGTTTAGAGACCAGCGGAAGTGCTGCGGCTGATTCAAGGGCTCAGGGGAAACCGTCGCCTTGTCTTCTGGAATTCTCTGCGCACGTTGCTGGCATATGAGGCCCATTTCTCTTTTTTCTCCAGCTTTTTTGCTATTGTTCCTCAACTTTAAATATCCAAATGTATGGGGAATAGTTCACCTGGAGAAAATTTGGTCCAGGTGAACCGCCTTTGTGGAAGTGGCTTTAATCCCCCCCTTTCTCTGCCGGATCCTGTTTGCCACGAGGCCACCACGGGCTGGCTGGGTGGGATCAGCCAGTGATGGTGAAACACAGCGACAGCTCTTTCAGCGAGGCAAACCAAAACGGAAACATGGACAATGTTTTTCGAGAAAATACTGTTTTTGAGTTGTGACTCATATTGGGAGACAGAAAGATTTATCTGCTTATTTTATTCATGACATTTGAGATGAAGTTAGAGGCTGTTCCTTGTAAGTTAGAATGTTCTAGAATTGAGCACAGCGAGTGTTCTTTAAACAAGACCTCTCTGACGAGAGATCATCATTCATTTGATTATACTACTCTGTTTTTCAAAGTCTAGAACTTAAAATAGTTCGGAAGACTAATTTGACATGTGCATTTAGAAGCAACGTAGCTGGAAGGGAGCGGAGCGCCCTGCAGGGGCGAAGACCACAGGCCCTGGAGCCAGAGGCCTGGACTCCTGCTCTCCTGCCCCT